TCCCCATCGGTTGTCGGTTCTTCGAGCTACATGACCGGCCCATTGCTACTTCAATTTACTGATCCGTTGGGCTATGTCGATTACTCTGGTTCTACTGTGGATATCCTCATTTCTAAGTTCATCAGGCAGGGAAACCCTGAGCATAGCCCTTTGCATAGCTCGCTGAGTGACCTTGAGCTTCCTCATACGGATAGCAGTGAAGGTCCACGTCTCAGATCCATAAGTCATCACCGGTAAAACGCACTGGTTGTACAATCTTGTTTTGAAGTTATGAGGTATCGGGAAACATTTGGGAAGAGTTCATTAAACCCAAAAGACGATTCACACGTCGTTTATAAAAAAACTATCACAGTCCTATCATATAGTTTTTAACTACGACTTCTGTTATCTTTGTTAAAAACATGAAAGTAATATCAGCGAGCTGCACCGCAACTATCTTAACCTACTGTAACTGTAACTCTAACCTACTTTAGAGTAATTGAGGTGGTTTCTATCAAAAGTACTTAATTATGAATGATAGGCAGAGATGATAATGAACGAGAATTTAATATGGTTTCGGTTTTTATGAATAAAATTGATAATTCCTCAAAAGTTAAACGAGAACCGCCTAAAATATGCTTAATATGGAACTTCGCGGATTTAATTTCAGCCTGCCTAAAACCGCTAAAATTAGGTGAATACGAATGAGAAAACATAAATTTAATGCCCGCGTCGCGACAGCTGCGTAGGAAGTAAAATATTTAATGTCAGATTTGAAAAACTTTCCCATTTCGTTATTTACGTCAATACAATTGGTACTAGTGTCGTCACAGATCATATAAAGAACTGTTTTTTCTATGCTCTGTGATTGTTGCTTAAGATTTTTGGGTATTATCCCGTAGTAAAATAAAACGTTTAAGACACATTATTAAAAAAAAAATTACTAAGAACGCTCGTAACTTCCAAATGCCTTTGTTTGCATTGCAATAGCCTTTGTTCTAAAATAGACAAAGCATTTGGAAAAATTTTATCCAAGACATTTACGGTCGATATTTTTTTTAATAATTTATTCAAAGTATTAAAAAAAATTTTTTTAGCCCTACAGCAGAAACCACACACGGTTTAGTTGCAGTGGTCTATTAACTATAAACTATTATCTTATACTAAAACTATTATTGATAATAATGGTAGATTTATATATTTATTAACTAATCACTAAGTATATTATTAATATGTAAATTTTAGATAAATCAGGTATAAACACATTGGATCAGGCAATTTACAGTTTTTTTTTAAAAAAACGTTACCCCCACACTTGGAATTTCTCCTGTGTCGTGGAGGCAGTTTACAAACACCAATTGCACAAGGACAAACATCCAGACCCGGAACAGTTATTTGTAGGCCATACAAATACTTGTTCCGTGCGGGATTCGAACCCGCGGCCCCCAGCGCAACAACTGATTGTTAAGGCACTGCGCCACGGAGCCGTCATGCCGTCAATTATGTTAACATTTAAGATACTATTAATATATTATACTAACTTATAATAATCCATACCGACCATCTAATTATTTAATTAGAAACTCTTTTAGTGTTCTTTTAGCTATTTTTACTTTATAATATTTTACTTTATTTAAGTTAGTGAGAGGAAGTTCGTTGAGTAAAGAGGGGAGCATGTATTCCCATGTGCGCTTACCATAAATATTTTCGTAAGTTGTAAGCTTAAATGTCGGTAACCTATTCAACTTCGTAAGGTTACAGGTCTACTATACTTTTTTAATTTACTCAACTGTTCCCACTCTTCACATAGGACTGCCAAATTAATTTCTTCATATACATTTAACGTTTTACAATATTTAAATAAGTTTGAATCATCATGTCTGTATAGTTGCTTAACATAGTTAGGAACTATTGCTTTTAAGATTTTTAGTTGTATTTTATAAATTTCTTGTATATAAGTTTTAAATGTTCTACCATAGCTACTCAGTCCATAGTTTATTATTGAATTTGCTAATGCCAAATATAAAAGTTTCAACGTTTGGTAAAGAATTTTATGCTTAAGTATTGTTAAATTACAAAGTATTGCTCTTAGTTTGTTACAAATGTTATTCACATTTGTAACAAACTAAGGTCTGTTACAAACATGAGGTCTCCAGATAAATTTATTATCTATTATTTGACCTAAATACATATGCTGATCAACCATTTCCAGGGGGTTACAGTTGCATTTGGTGTATTGCTGATGCAGACAGCTGTGCTCATGTGCAATGATAGTAGGTTGTGTATCATATTTTATGTAGCTTAAGTGTATATGCATCAGTTTAGTTTTTTGAGTATTGATTACCAGCCCAACATCATGTGCCCATTTGCACAGCTGATGATAGTTATGTTGCATCAATTCTTGTGCTTTAAATAGGTTGTTATGTGCAGTTATTAGACATGTGTCGTCTGCGAACTGGTAAATGGAACATATTTTAAAGATATTACACATATTATTCACATATAACAAGTATTCGGACGGACCAATACTTAAGGAGCCCTGGGCTGTACCCTGAGAAGTAGATATTTTATTACTATATTCACCTGCGACCTTTACTACTGTATGACGGTTTGTGTGATAGTGTTGGAACCAATTCAGGGCCGAACCCTGAATTCCGTTTTGTTCTAATTTTGAAAAAAGTATATTATAATTTAAAACATTAAATGACTTACTAAAATCAATAAAGATAGCAATAACATGTCTCCTCTCATTTAGGTGCAAGTTGACTTCATTAGTAAATTTTGCAAGTAACTGTGAGGTACTTTTATATTTTTGAAATCCAAATTGTTTACATTTTATTATTTTATTCTGAGCAAGGTATTTGCTTAAAGTATCTCCAAAGTACCTCTCAATTATTTTGTCAATAGAAGATAAAATAGTAATTGGTCGGTAATTATTTGGATTGTCGTAGCTACCTTTCTTATCTATAGGACTAATAACACCTATTTTTAATAGGTCGGGATAATAACATGTTTCAATGGACTGATTAATTAAATGAGTAAAATAATAGGTGTTATTTTGCCTTTAACATGTTTTACGTATTTTGCACTAATATTATCCCAGCCAGCACTTTTATTCTCATTTAATTTGTTTCTTATTGTGGATATAGTGTATTGGTTTGCTTTTCCCAATCTAAAACATACATTCGGTTCATTAATATAAGTATTGGTTTTAAAAATAGAAGTGCTGCAGGATGTACAGGTTTGTTCAATATTTTTTTGAAATTCTGTAGCAAATTTATTTGATATTAATTTAGCAGGCATTTTGAACTTATTTAATAAAATTTTATCTATAGATTTTGTTAATTTACTACATAACTTGCAACGCAAGTATGGAATCCCTATTATAATAAATACGGTGAACTTCTAGAATCATTACAAGCAAAGTTTCTTCGTTTTATATATTATATATGTTACCACGCTAAATCATCGTATCGCAACTTATTAAAAAAGTTTTCAATTCATACTTTAAAAGCAAGAAGAATATACTTTGATGTAATACTATTATTCAAAATAATTCGAAATGATTCAGATTGTAGTGAATTACTTAACAAAATATATATCCGTGTCCCTAGTCGTTCTCAACGCATTAGAGACGTGTATACACATAAATTGTTTACACCTAAACTATGTAAAACCAATGCAGGTGAACGCGCCTTGTACTAGTACTTGTATGTACTTTTGCAGTTTGTCTGCAGTTTGCAGACATTTTTTATGAATATAATTGTATTTGTTAGAAATAAAGTTCATTATATCATTAGGACTAACATATCTTAACCCCTGGCTCCAGTCTACATTACACAATTCATTTAGTAACTTGCGATGGTTTGTTTTATTACAATATTTAGTGTTCTCTTTTTGTAATGAAGCCTAGACTATCACAAAACCGGTCATATAATGGTCAGCTATGGAGTTATTTATCACTGCTGTAGGTATGGATGATGGAGTAGCACTGTGATTGTCAAGGCTTCGTATAAATATGTGATCAATACAGCTTTTGGTAATCAAGTTCCCTTTAGATTCAATCCGTGTATAGTGTCGAAAAAAAAGTGGTAGAGTCACGCGGCAGCTTTTTCTGTTGCACGGATGGGCCGGCTCAAACCGGGGTGGTACCACGACCTCACAGAATACCAGCGTGAAGTAGAGGTTTACCTCTGCGTTTCGCTTGGTGAGTGCAGGTGGCCGGAGGCCCTTTTTACTGGAAATGAGGCGTTCCATCTTAGTCCTCACGGGTGACAACGCATCTACATTTTGATTCGTAACAGAGGATAGATGTAGATGTCTATGGGCCGCAGCAACCACTTACCATCAGGTGGACTGTGTGCTCGTTTGTCACCCTTATCCTATAAAAAAAAAAATTCGACAATCAAGGCCTACCTCACTCATGGTGTTGAGACATAATTTAACATTTGACTCATTTAGTTTAATGTTTATGTTTATGTCCCCGATAATTACAAGATTACTTTTTGAAGGAAACTGCTTTATTACCTGTTTGATTTCCGTGATAAAAAATACTTGATTAGAGCTTGGAGGTCGGTATAATGCACAAATACACAATTTATAGTTGTAGCTTGTTGACACTTCACCAATAATGGATTCGGAAAAGCATGTATTCACTGGAAGTCTATTAAATGAAACACTTTTATGCACATATAAGATGACTCCTCCACCTCTTTTGATTTTGCGAAGTTGTGAATACATTTCATAATCTTCTAGTTGAAAAAGAGATGAGTACTCCGCTCTTATGTTAGCTTCTGTAACTACAATGATGTGTATTATTCTTAAGCTGTTGTGTATTATGTATTCAAGTTTTTTAGTATGGATCTTATATTTATATGAAGCGTAGATAAATAGTTACATTCTGTGGAAGTCTTTTCTATAAATTCATTCCGGTTGTTATATGTATATTCGTTTATGTGTGGAGTGAAATCTTCCATGCAACACTACAATAATAACTTGACAGTTGACAGTTAAATATGATTTCATTTTGTGTTAAATAATTTCACCAATCTTTCTTCATCATTGCTAGATCGAATGTGGTGTATTTTATTTGTTTCATGTTTTCTTGCCAATATCACACCATTGTTACACCACACGAACTTGCAGAGATTATTTCTTTTTAGTTCTGTTTTTGATTTCCACAACAAATAAGCAGTGGCAGGTGTCAGGGATTCCCTGAAAAAAATCTTGCTTCCTTGCGAAAGTCCTATGTCTCGGCAGCTGATATCTATATTTTTGAAGATTCCAACCACATCTCTTTGCACCCATCTCTCAACAATAAAATTACTACTGACTGCGAGTTATTGCTGTTGTTCGAGCGAACTGTTTTTTTTTCTGAATGCTTTATATATATATATACATATATATATATATATATATATATAGTTTTGGTTTATTTTTAAAGCAATTCTTTTTGTTAAATCTAATAGATTCATGATAATATTCAAAGATAATAGATCTAATAGATCACATATCTCGATGTTATTAATAATGAGGTTTTGTTGTAACGAGTTAATTTTTTTTCAATGGCGTCATTTTTTAGTGACACGTTTTTTAAGTTGTTTTATTTATTTATTTATTTAACAGTTTATGTACACACATAATTTGATAAGAAAATGGTAAAAACATAATTATGTACAAAGGCACTGCTTATTCCATGATGAAATTTCTTCCAGCAGGCCTATTGAAGGATAGTTGAAGGAAATAGAGGTAGTCAAAGTGTGCACTTGCATAAATATACATATACTATACAAATATATACAAACTTATATATATACGTATATACATATATAAATAAATATTATATATTATAAAAAATATATATAATTCAATATATATTTTAATGTTACTTATATGCATACCAACACATTACGATTTAGTAATTATGGAGTGAGTGATAGTGCTCTTTAACAAGTCTTTTAAACATAGACACCGATTTAGCATCACGAATCCTAAAGGGAAGTGAATTCCACAATCGTACTGCGTTAACAGAAAAAGAATGAGAATAGAGCATGGTATTGAAAGATGGAAATCTTAACAATGTTCTAGTATTTGACCTACATGGTACATCTGAAAATTGAACAAAAGTAAAACGATTTTTTAGATATAGCGGAATAGAAGGATTATGTAGAATATTGAAAAGAAGACAGAGGATACGAGTATTCCGGCGAAGGCGGATTGGGAGCCATTTAAGCTGCTTGCGATAAACAGAAACGTGATCGTACTTCTTTAAGCCAAAAATGTATCGAATACATAAATTTTGCAAGCGCTCAAGTTTATTGATTTGCTCCTCTGTAGCATCCAGATAACATACATCAGCGTAATCTAAAATTGGTAATATAAGAGTCTGGACTATTGATATCTTAGTAGACAAGGGTAGAAAACTTTGAAGACGTTTTAGAGAATGAAAGGCATGAAATATTTTCCTACTTACATCCGTAATATGAGCGCCCCAAGTCAGATTGCAGTCAAAAATAACGCCTAGGTTCTTGGCAGTATCTGAGTAGGGAATAGTGGTATCAATTCGTAGAGTTTGGAGAGAGGAGAAATCAAGCAAGCCACGCGCATATCTTTTGCCTATTATCAAGGCTTGGGATTTATTTGGGTTTATTATGAGACCAAAAGATCTTGACCATTCGCTAATCTTATTTAAGTCATCATTCATAGCTTCAATCGCCAATTTAGCTTCAGATGCCACAAAATTACGATATAACTGCAAATCGTCAGCATAGAGGTGGTAATTAGATGATATGACATTAGTGATACAATTAATAAAAACGGCAAAAAGCAGAGGAAATAGGACTCCACCTTGTGGTACACCCGCAGTTACATTATACCATTGGGAGTATATTTCACCTGAACGAACACATTGAGAACGATCTCGAAGATAGGAGTCAAACCATAGAATAACAGATCTAGACACATTAATCGACTTAAGGATACTTATAAGGATATCAAAATCGACAGAATTAAACGCACTGCTGAAATCTAGTAGAACAAGAACTGTTAAAAATCCATGGTCCATATTCCAACGAATATCATCAGTAACTTTAAGAAGGGCAGTTGTTGTACTGTGACCAGGTCGGAAACCAGATTGATATGGACATAAAAGATTGTTACTGTTGAGAAAGGCTGAAAATTGCTTGTGGACAATGTGTTCAAGAACTTTAGAAAGAAATGGCAAGATTGAAATAGGACGAAAGTGAGAGGGAGATGAAGGATCAGATATCTTAGGGATAGGGATAATGTGAGCTAATTTCCATGACGACGGAAAACAACAAGAAGATAAAGAGAAATTAAAAATGTGAGTAAGAACAGGTAGAAGAAAAGAAAGGATAGGCATTATCATATTAGAGCATATGCAGTCATTTCCAGCAGCCGTAGATGATATAGCCAAAATTGTTCGGTTAGTATCGTCTTCGGTGACTAAAGAAAAACCAAAAGTGGCACACTGCAGAGCTGGGTGCTTAGCCAATTCTAACATTGACCTAGCTTTATCACGTGCAGAGATAGAAATAGGAGGGCAAGAAAAATGTTGGTTGAGAATATTTAAGTCTATGTCTCCACTTAGAGTTTGTGACTTTCCAACGCCAACAGTTTTAAGAAATCTCCAGGCTTTTGCGGGATCACATTTAGTTAGGGAGTCATAAAAATAACTCCTTTTTGCATCTCTGCACAAACGATTGCACCGATTACGTAGGATCTTATAATTTGTTAAATTACCCTCCAGTGGAAATCGCTTGTATCTTCTTTTAGCTTTATCCCTACGTGCCATGAGCTCCTTTAAAGCTGGAGTTATCCAGGGGGCAGGATTATGTTTTATTTTAACGCGTTTAACCGGGGCATGAATATCATATAAGTTAAGTATGATATTGTTGAAACTGTTCACTTTGTCATCTACTGTTTGGCTGGCAAAAACCGGCGCCCAATCTATCAACCTAGCATCACGTTTTAAGGCCTCCAAATTAATGCCCCTGTAACTTCGAAGGAATCGAAAGTTTGACTTACGCTTAGGAGGTCGAACACGGTAAGACAGATAGATAAGGTCATGGTATGAGAAAGAAGCAGTTAGTTGTCCATGGCTGGCAGCATTATTTGGAGAAGATACTATAATTAGGTCAAGGAGAGATGGAGTACAGTTTGGGAAGTGGTGAGTGGCTGAAAGAGGTAGGATCTGAATATTAAAAGAGGACAAAAGTGATTGCAACTTATTCGTACGGTGGTCATTTTTAATTAAGCACGTATTAAAATCACCCATCAAGATAACATGATTATATAAGAGATTGAACTCACCAAGTAGTTTGTCAAATGCGTCAAAATAATTAACATAAAGGTTAGGACTATAAAGAACTCCTAGTAATATTTGTGTGTGATTAAGGGTAATTTCCAAAAAGAGGTGTTCAGCAGAATTAGAATATGTTTGCGGAGATGTACTGATCACCTTAAAAGGTATTTCGGCACGTAAATATATACAAACACCTCCACCACCCTTGCCTACTCGGTCATTGCGTATTAACACATAACCAGGAAGTGAGTATAGAGTGGAAGGAAGAGTAGGTTTGAGAAAAGTTTCAGAAATCAAAAGAGCATCGAGATGAGTATTGCTAATGGATGCTAGAAGGTCAGAGTAGTGGCCAGGAACACTTTGCGCATTAATGTGGGCGATATTTAAATTTTCAGGGTATTCAGAAAATACCGAAGAAATATGATCGAGCAGAGTAATTGGTTCAGACGACGATTCGGTGTCCACGCTTACAAAACTGTTAGTAGACGACGAGCATGAGAAAAAACTTTCATTAAGGTCTGATAAATTATTCATAGTTTATGATGATAATAATGAATATAATAAAATAAAATTACAAATATATATATATATATATATATATATATAAGTATAAATATAACTAAAAAAGTAAAAAAAAATAAAAAAAAAACGACTAAAAATTAATATTAAAAATTCAAACTTAATAACTCAACTCACTCTCTGGCGTGATGGAAGAAATTTTAAGTAAAATCTAGTGAAAAGAAAAACAAGAAAAAAGGACAAAAGAAATAATTATTGATCACTAACAAAACAGATCAAGAGAATTAATAAAAATACTTCAATATTACATTCAACAATATGCGAAAACATTGAACGGAGCTTAGATATGGTACATTGATTGCAACATGTTAATGTAAACAAAACAAATTTTGCATACCCACAAGAGAGAAAAAAAACAAACAAAGATTAGATGCTGCTGTTATTGCAAAGTAGTTGTGTAATTCGTAAAATGTAAATTATTAACGACTGTTTTTTATGTCTTTTATTTGGTTGTCAGTTAATCTCAAGTTTATCTCGTATTCTTTAATTTTCTCTTGATATTCATCCATTTTTTCGGAGAAAACTTGTAAGGTAAGTAGTTTGAAGTTCTTGCTGCATAATTTCTCGTAATTCTCTCCTTATGTCGCTTATTATTTTTCTCGTTAGGGTGTTGTATTGCAGTTCTGAGCTGGAACCTGTGTCTTCTTCCACGTCAGGAATAATACATGAAATTCTTTTCGGTTTCGCTGTACCCGTGCACGTACGGCATTTCCAATCAACAAAGTCGGTACTATTTAAGACGTTAAGTTGCTCTTCTGAGATTGCAGCACATTCCCCGTGTGTCCACTTGCTGCATTTGTCACACTGGATCCCTGGGGACTTTTTGGTAACAATTTTGTTGCATTGAGAACACTTAAACATTGTAGGTATTATAGAAAAGTTATTACCATATCACAACCACATTGTTTGAAAAGGAATGCTAGGAGTAATTCTATGCACAAGTAATGTCGAAGTGCCCATTATAGAGTTTTATTACTTTTGCCTTAGAATAAAAATGTCCGCATTATCAGGTTTATAGTTCTTCATACGTCTACAAATCATGCAACCTTTTACAGTATTTTCTAGCAAAGATTATTTCTCGTATTAGCCAGAATCTATCAGATATCTATTGAATAGAGTTAAACTGAGGTCTGTCATGAAGCCTCAAATGTTCATAACTAAATATTAATTCTGCAAATAAGTGACTTGAGTGTAATAGCGCTTTGCTTTAATAGGTCATGATGATATTCTTAGTGTGTGTGTGTGTGTGTGTGAGAGGGGGGGTGGTCCAACGATTTTCCCTTCCCTATCCTAATTTGCCCTATTGCGTATATATCACGAAATACAGTCACTGCCCTTAAAAATGCAAAAACAAACAGACTCTACTGAACCAAAAGCAGAACTGTGTTATTTAAAGCGTCAGTAGTCTGATGGCAGGGCGCGAACCACGAACTCGAAAGGTCGTAGGTTCGAATCCACCATTCAAATACTGTCGTGAACCACTTCTAACACAAGCATTTTAATCTTACCAGAAGTGGTTACAGGGAATATTAGTAATGTTTAATAGCATTACTAGTATTATGAAGTCACACTAAAAGAACTTTTTTATTTTATATTTGTACTTCATTGAAACTTATTCTGGCGACCGAATTATTTTGTTAGCTATTAACAGATTATTGCAGTAAAGTTTTACGTTTGTCTTAAAGAATTTGCTTGTCATGTTATCATTTTATGATATTTCTATATATTAAGGATAAATAAGTACATGTTCAATAAAAAGTCAAGTATATTTAATTATTTGTTAAGAGTAGACATTTTATTTTTATGAATTAATGACATTCTCTTTTAATTTTGGAATGAAACAATTGCAATACCATAACGTGCATATTTAAAACATTGATTACTGTTATACATATGATTCCAAGTCTTCTCCAGAAATATTGTTTGCCCTATAACAAGAAAAAAAAATTCTGTAGAGAAAAATATAAAAAAGAGGTAAAAAGCAACTAAGGTTAGATAATATATCTTCATAAAACGTAAAAGCTCACTTCTGGATATGAGACTCTTCCATTGTGTGAGAAATTGCCACAAACGCTATATTTGGCAGGCGAATTGGTGAGATCACAGTACGAGGCGTCTCGTACCTTTATCACTAGAATCACATACATCATAGTTCATTCTAAACTAACATATTTTTTTCTTCTTTACTAGCTCTTGTAAGTTATAACTGAATAGAAACAACTTTTGACTATTTGTCAACTAGCTTATATAATTTATAAGACTTGCCCATGTTTACTTAGCTGGACAGGCAGGTAGGCAGACTTGCTGCTCTCAATCAAGAGCCTGTGGGAGTTTGATACTTTTCGTGCCTTGGACCAGTGCAAAGATATTTACCTTATCGTTTCTGGTGCTCAAAGCAATTTCTATGCCAGCAACTTAAGACTTTTCAAGGCAAAAGCAAAGATGCATTTTAAGGCATGTTGGCATGACAATAGGAGCACACAGTCCACCTGATCGTAAGTGTATGCTGTGGCCTTTAGACATCTACATTTGAACTCAGTTAAAAATCTAAATGCAGATGTGTTGCCATCCCTGAGGACTTAGATAGAATGCCTCGTTTCCAGTAAAGAGGGTATCCGGTTGACAACACTCACCATACGAAAACAGCAGCATTGAGCTGCTATTTTACGCTGCTGTTCTGTGAGAGGGTGGTCCTTCCCCGGTCGAGCTGACCTATTCATGCTACAACAATAATAAAGCTGCAGCATAGCACTACCACGTATAAAACTTCCAAACTTTTTTTTACTACGAGTATCTTAGTCAAACGTGGCCTACGTTCAAATAAGATCCCATCTGATTATGTTATTTATAAACATATTCCTTGAACTGTATATTTACAATATAACAAAATAGCCTACACACCGTAAACCAATCGATACTACATATAAAATTGAAAAATATTGTGAAATAGACTTACGTGTGATATGGTTGTTTGCTATGTAACATTAATGATAATGCAGTCTTGGATGAGCGTTTATTCGGTGCCTCACCAATCCATACTTCTTTATTTAGCATGCGATCTATAAATAAGTAAATGAGAGATAATAAATCACAATAAAATAATTTACCTTTTATAACAAGGAAGTTACTTTATTTATGGTTTAATGTGACCTGTGGATGTCGTAAGACGCGACAGAGAAAAAGAAACCAGTAGAAGAACAGCAGCATCTTCCTAAATAAAACTAGAAATTAAAAAACTATACGTTTGCCAATTCGCCTACCAAGTGCGGTAATTATGGAAAATATTTCCCTTGTGAAGCAATCTTTGGATTATGTTCAGCAGCGGACTTTGATAGGCTGTAATGAATGAATACGCCTTTGTTGTGTTAATTATTTATTTCCCAACTTTAGAATATTATCTCATCACGACCGCGTTCCCGATTGTCATTGTAATTTACTACTTCGCGGGTTCTGGCTAGAACTTATATTATATATGGCATATAATAGTCAACTGTAGCTGTGTTGTGGCGGAATAAGAGAATCCATTCATCACCTATTTGGTCCCGTAGGTGTTAAAAGAAGCAACTGTATCATATTGGTACTGCGATGTACAATCCGACTGCCAAGAGCAACTATTGAAGCAATTTTTTCCTGCAACCGGAATACTACTCACAGCTAAGAGAAACACAAATTCTTGTTTCTCGTGATTTTCAATTTTTCTACAGACTTAAGGCTAGGATTCGAACACAGAACCGTGGTGTGTTTGAAACAAGCAAAGGTGTTGTAAATTCAAATTACAACGGAGTTAAATATTGTTTAATTATTTTATTATTTTCAAAACAGTTTAGTGATATCTGTTTTCATAATATCTTGCTACCAGTGATTGATCATTGTACTGAACTTAAATTTAAATAATATCGGAATGAGCACCAGCATTAATTACAGCCTCTTGAACATAGGCCTCTTCCACAGATTGCTACATAAAGCGGATCTTTGTATTAGTTGCCACATTTGGCAGGCGAGTTGGCAACCGCAGTTTTTATCATTTTGAGCTGTTATTACTAATAAGGAAGAATCTACTGCCCATCTCTTATTTCATTTTCCTCTGTTGCCTCTTACGATGCCCAATTGAAAATATAAGGTAATGGATTGTCTTGTGCAGCCACTACAGGGCACCAAAACATACTAATAAATATTTTGATTATTCGCTCTTTATTCGCTATCTTTGAAAGCAGTGTTTAGATGTTTTATCTAACAAAGGCGGGCGAACCTTAATCTTCTACTTAGTAAAGAATATATTAATTATTTTCTTACATCACTGCGAACAAGATTTTACCGTTTACTTTCCGTTTTGACAGTGTTCGATAATGTTTTTTTTTTTCACTCTTGAGCACAAGTCGTATAAAACAATTTGCATGTACACTTTTACTACAAGTAAGTCCATCCAACCATCGTGAGATAATAAATAATATAATAACTTTAATTGTGTATATAACTTGTTGCATGTTTGTCTTTCCATTCTATTATAATGTGGGTGCCTTCAGGGCAAGAGTGAGTTTTGTTAAGCTAAGTCTTTACCATCTTCCGCTGCATCATCACTTATTATCAGGTGGGATAGTAGTCAAACACTGACTTATAATAGTAAAAAAAATCTTATTGAAAAAAATATTTTTGTTCAATAAGAAAAGTAAGTAACAACAAAATTACTTTTGAACACATTTCCTGTCCTTTTTCTACACGCTAGATCAGCATTTGGCAGTAGACCAGAGTATATCTGAACTGGTGTCCGATAAAAATCTGAAATATTTTTGTTCAATAAGGAAAGTAAATAACAATAAACTTACTTTTGAACACATTTCCTGTCCTTTTTCTATACGCTAGATCAGCATTTGGCAGTAGACCAGAGTATATCTGAACTGGTGTCCGATAAAAATCTGAAATATTGCAAAAAAATCACATTATAGATAATGCAGTCTTGAATGTGCGTTTATTCAGAACCTTGCCAATCCATTAGGTATTCTTTATTTATCATACGATCTGTAAAACCATATATGAGACATAAGATAGGTAATAAAATAAGTGAAAATAATTTATCTATTATCTTAAGAAAGTAACTGACTTGAATTGTTCTTGATTTTAATAAATACACTCAATAGTAGCTTAGGTACAAAGCGCTCGCTGTGACTGTCGACTGTGCTTAGCTTTAACTTTTCTTTAAATCTCATAGATGTGAAAATGATGCTAAAATCGGTAGGAAATCGAATATATTGCTAGCCACGCTCTAACCAGCGTAAAGTAGCAGCTTAACACTGCTGTGTATCTTATAGTGAGTGTAGAGAACCGGAGACCCTTTTTACTGGAAAAAGAGTCCTCACACGTGACAACGCATCTGCATTTTGATTCGCAAACGAGGATAGATGTAGATGTCTATGGGCCACAGCAACCACTTACCATCAGGTGGACTGTGTGCTCGTTTGTCACCCTATCCTATAATATATATATATATTAAATATATGGTATATCATACCTAATTCTAATTGTAGTACATCATCAATCATTTATAAACATAATTGATGCTGAGGGGAAAATAAGATTTAGTTATTTACCAAATATTTTTTACGTTATAAACTGACATTGTACTCGTACCTTCATTTTTTCTGTAGCACGAATAGATAGATAGATAGATAACACTTTAAAAATAACATAAATATTAACAAAAAATTTGTCTTATCGCTAAGAGCGATCTCTTCCAGACAACCTTTGGATGGACAGGATTGCAAGAAAACAATAAAAACGTGTGTAGTTTGGCGACAAAAATAACAATATTTTTATTAAAATAGATAAGATAATTTGATATTTTTTTAATATAAATATATGAAAGTATAAAGTATAAAGTATATACAATAATTTTAAAGTATATATTTGATACTTTAAAATTATTACATATAACATAAATGTGCCATTCATATAAACAAATATTGTAACTAAATAAAGGTAGAATAATTGTATACATATGAACCAGATAGAAACAAAGTTGAAAAAAGTAATCGTGCACATGTTCCTAAAATCCGGTAGGGGTTGAGCGCGTCTTGGTGATAACGGCAAGTCATTCCATAATCGGACAGCTTGTATTGTGAATTATCTGTCCAAAAATTTGGTAGTGTGATCTGGCAGTTTTAATATCAAATTTATTATATCATTTTTATCGAATAAGTCGACACAACTGGCAAGGATCAACGGCCCACATTTACAGCATAATATAACAACATAATTCTGCTATTACGAATCGCTAGTGACGAGAACCTGGGATTATTGTTATTGATAAAGTAGATTTTCAATTTGGGTCTCAGGGGAACAACGTATCTGTATTTAGAAAGTTAATCGAGAATAGACACAGATGTTCATGGGCCAACTAAACAACAGGTGGACTGAGTGCTGATTTGCCTTGTTTACTTGTATAAAAATATACGACACATAAACATAAGATATTTAAAATAAAAGTTTTTTAAGTATATTGAAACAAAACTAAGTATAAAAACTTACAACTCATTCGTTCGGGTAATGGTTCTTCTTCTATGTTGTCATCTGACCGAGCGCGGAGATAATCTGAATAGAACGAAAAATTATATTAAAAAAGTGTCTTACTTCTGCGTAATTATTTTACAAAATTATTATAAAATAAAATAAAATAAGTAAAACCTTCTTAGTTTATTGTTAGTTTAAAATATTTTAAAAAGAGCAATTTACTATTATATTAAACTTTATAAGAAAATAAGTGATTTATTTTACCACTTTCTTTATCATATTCTTGCATTGTCATCCGAATTTCAACTTTATTCAAAATTGAGTAAAACTACTTTTACGGATACTGTCACGTTTAATTAAGTTATTTTTTTATTAATTCCCGATGTTTGGGGTGCTTTACATCACCCATGATCACGGGGGACTGAGGTGATTGACGTCTTGATGCATTAGATTTGATAAATTTTCGCAAAAGAACATCGATTCCTGCCATGGATGATACGTGAGGCTTTTAAAATTAAAAACATCCTAATTTCAATAGAGAGGGAGGCTGGGTACTACCACCTGCTTGGGATCCTGTAATTAACAAAGTAAAACTAAACCCAAGCATACCACAGCAAGACTTCAAGACACAGTAAATTCATTATGCTTAGATCGGACCTGGTCAGAAGACACCTCAGTCCCCCGTGACCATGGTTGCTCTAAAGCACCCGACATGTCGGGAATTAATTAAAAATATAAGTTAATTAAATGCCATAGAATCCATAAAAGTAGTTTTATTTAATATGTAGTGTTCGCGTAAATATAGGAAATCATTATATATTCAATATTTCAAGTTTCCAGCTCATCGGGAAGTCAGTATGAAGTCAGGTACTAAATTCCACCCGGAACGACAGACAAACAAGAAAGTGAGTTAATAAAAACGTGGTAAAATACATTCGTTTTTATGTTGAAATCTAAATATTTAACTAACTCAAATAAGAATAAATATTTACCTTTATAGAAATTAAAACCATCCCTCCCCAAATCGGAACACTTTGCCGATGACAAGAGAAATATTAATACAGCTAACAACCATAAATATAACTGTCTCATTATGTAACAAAATGATTGAATAGTATGCTACCACGGAAATATAATATTAAGTCTAAACACTCTTCAGGTAAGAATGTCAGAAAATAAACTGAAATAAAAAGGCAACGTCTCCCTTTATATACGGATTTCAAAGATACGGTGTGTACGTTGAAATGTTAGAGCACATCTTTCAGTTGTAATAAGTTTGATTTCGGGTGAAAAAAGTAAACAAACTTGTATACTTATGTACCTTTTCTAAATGTTTATTATAAATATACATTTTTACATTTACTCTTCAGAAGGAAAGTTACATAATCCCTTTCGGATTTATATGCAACTCTGAGTTTGTTGCTCATGTATGTTTAAGACAGAGGGCAGAGGCATAGGTAAATCACGTCGAATTATTTGCTACTGTACTTTGATTTGGAGAGTGTGGTGGGGCACCGGACACACACATACCCTTAAGTTTAAATACCTCTATTAAATTACATTTTATGTTTCGTGATTTCCTTCCTTTGAATTTATCTATTAGATCTACGGGGATATATTTCATTTAGCATTACATGCAATTTCATGTTAGTTGATTCGATGACAGAGCAGGTAGCTCCAGAGATAAAAGAGCCGCATATCCACCACCTCAATTTTTTAAATTCAAGAAAGTATAGATAGTCTTATATAGTGCATATTATATAAAATTACATAAAATAAATTAAACCGTTTAATGTAAAAATAAAGCAAAATAAGCCCCAGTGCTTGACACAGGCCGTCTCTAATTTCTGCGAGTGATTAAAAGCAAGGAAGTACCCGTCATCATACTTCAACGTGTGTCAGCGGACTTCACATGTCTCCGAATTTTTTTATTTCTCACACATGCGGGTTTCTTTAAAATGGTTTCACACATCGCGTAGTAAATCAGTACTTAAAATTGCAAATTTCTTCTATGACGGCATGGATCAAAGCCAGGTTACTCGCGTTTTACGTCGATTGCTTAGCGTCTCAACTACCATGGTTCTAAATGTATCCACCCGTGCCAAATGTGTTTGTGCAGATGATCTCTGCTTTCACTTTTGAAAGAGTTTCGAGGCAAAGACGAGGTTATCGCATTGCCCCTATATGAGTTGATGGATTTCATTGATCCTAAAAATATTTTTTCAATTTCTTTCATACACATACATGTCTCTTTGTGTTTTTCTTTACTTAAAATGAATAGGTAAACTGGCAGTTAAAATAGCGATTAATAATTGCATTGGAGCTGGAGGAATAAACTCTGCATATAAAATTATGAATATAGAATAGGAGCTGCTTCCTTATCCCCTGTACTATTGTGACTATTCCAGCCAGAATAATGTAAAATATTGTGTACTATATGCAGTTTTACACAAAAAAAAAATTATCATAAGAAAATTAAGTTACAAGGTTAAATTAGGTTTTCAGTTTTAACTGGCCCGTTCGTATTAGTTGTAGGCGCGACTACTGATCAGGTAGTTCTGGGCTCAAATCCCGGGTCGCACCAAAATCAGTTATTGGGTTTTTTTGCCATGAAATATCAGTAATAGAAATCCGAAAAATGAGGAAGTTGGTGGTGTATTACCGTTGTGCCCGGGAAAGATGACCTCTTTCCGGTCATGTCGAATTTCCATCTCATCGGATTATGAGAATGATGGAATAGAGAATGAACCTGTGTTTGTGCACACATTCGAATAGTACAATAGTGTTCTGCGCAGATGACTAATCTTCTTGAGACTGGCCGCTATGACCGAAATTTGGTCAGGAGGATATTATTATTATTTAATTTTAGAAAGAAATAAAATTGGAAAATATATGAGTGAAGCTACTTTTTAAGGAAAATATTAAATTTGAAAAAGACATCGCATCATAAGTTCTGTTCTCGACGTCACAGTAGGCGGGCATCACGTTTTCAGACGTAAACTTTTGTAAGTGACAGCTAAGTGGCAGCATAATAAGAGTATTTTTTTATATCTCCGTGAAAACTACAATGAATAAGGCTTGCCTGTTTGTGAAAATCGTCAAGTTTAGACTAACTAAGATTTTGAAAGCAAAAAAAAAATATTTACCTTTCAATCTTTTTATTTACATTTCAAAGATCCAAAAATAATTAATTGACATTCTATTCTGAAAACACTCATACTTAGTTAAATCTGTTTAATAAAAAATAGTCATATTTTACACCATGAAATTTTCTTATTTATTGTATTAAGAAACTAAAATTTCATGTTTTCATTATCATCATCATTAGATCATTATTATTGGCCGCCCCCCAAAATACAATTCTCTATATTAATTGAAAACAATACTGCTTTCACGCAGCCTAAAGTCATAACTTGTCAGTATATTTGTTAAGCTGTTTCTAACGGACCTTGTTGAACTTGCAATGTATGGCTGTGGCAAGTTTCATTGCACGCCCAGATAATTTAGACTTACTGCGGCTGCTGGGAGTGTAATAATTTGAGGGAAGTATATTCAAGTTCCCTGAGACACATTTCATTCCGCGTAGTGATATTGTTATTACTCTGAATTTATTGTTCTAGATATACCTACCCATTATCACAGTTTATGTTCTTAGACTGTGCTATTGTGCTTAGTAATGAAATAAAGCATAAAGAATTGAACACCGTAATTTAATAAATAAAAAAGGTTTTATTGAACATTTTCTAACAATTTTAATCCTTCCTTCTTTCTCTTTTAAAGTTCTTACTTGCTGCACACAAACAGATAAGGCATAATTTTTTTTAATCTTTATCACAATAAATGGTCCGTTAATAAATATGCAAAATTGCACACATACTATATACGAAGTACACGTTAGTAACGACTGTGTTTTCAATTTCAACAAAACGACAAATTCAAACATAAAACTGTATGCTAATGTGTCTTTAGTTTTTTTGTATTTAGTAAAATTTTTGAAAAAATAATTTTAGATCAGATATTAAGTTTCTTTAATATTAATAAATTGCTACATAGAAATCAATTCGGTTTTCCAAGGGGTCACTCGACAACTGATGCTGGAGTTGAGCTTATTAAACATCTTTTTTGTGCATGGGAGAGTTCAGAGGATGCTTTTGGTATATTTTGTGACCTTTCCAAGGCCTTCGACTGCGTTCACCATGATACATTAATCAGAAGGCTACAGTACTATGGTGTCAAGAACAAAGCGTTTAAACTTATTATTTCATATTTAAGTAATAGAATGCAGAAAGTTATTATCAATGGTAAAAGTTCTTCCGGCTCACCTGTACTAATGGGTGTCCCTCAGGGCTCGATTCTCGGCCCATTCCTATTTCTAGTGTATATTAATGACTTACCTTCTCTTGTAGAGGATAATCATGATATAGTATTATTTGCTGATGATACTTCCTTGATTTTTAAACTTAAACATCAATTATTTAAATGTGACGAAGTGAATAATGCTATATAAAAGTTAGTGCATTGGTTTAACGTTAATAATCTACATTTATACGGAAATAATACTAAATGTATTAAATTTACAACAACGAACGTTAAAAATCTGAGGACCAATGTGTTTTAAATGTAGAAGAACTGAGCCCTGTTGATTCCACTGTTTTTCTTGGCATCACTCTCGATGCAAAGCTTCAGTGGGGCCGCCATATATCCAAACTAGCAAGCAGACTAAGTTCTGCAGCCTATGCTGTAAAAAAGATTAGAGGTCTCACTAGTGTCGAGACAGCTAGATTAGTTTATTTCAGTTATTTCCATAGCATAATGTCTTATGGGATTTTGCTATGGGGAAATGCGACTGATTCAGAAACTATTTTTCTTTTACAGAAGAGGGTCATTCGAGCTATTTACAACCTAAAACCGAGAGAGTCTCTTAGAGATGAATTTAAAGAAATAAATATATTAACTTTGACCTCTTAGCATATTTAGGAAATTTAATGTATGTTCACAATAGTTGAAACTGTCTAAAAAGGGTTATTATAGTATAAATGAATACATTATTGATAATAACCCCTGGGAATGAGGTGATCGCTTCCAAGTTGTTTCTAAAATAAATTTTGTACTTATATAGTTTGTAAAACCATTTTTGTAAAATTTGCTTTAAAAAAAAGTCCCGCTGGGTTTCTTGCTGGTTCTTCCCAGGACAGAGGTTTTTTTCGAACCAGTGGTAAAGTAAAAAATAACTTTCAATAAGAATTACACATGTGATGTATATTGAATAAAAATTTATTCTATCCTATTCTATTCTATTCTATTCTGTCGAATTAAAGAATTACGGAAGAAACTGACAAAAATTTGAGATTGGCAAGCAGTATATAGAAAGAGGATGAGTTTCGTTGGGATTTGTTCTTTTCTAAGCGAAGAATAAGAAACGTTGTTGACCAATAAACCAGAAAATTTACCGTGCATTCTTAGACTTGAAAAAGTTTTATGACAATGGGCAGGGTTGTTTTTTGGCAAATGCTGGCCTCGTTAGGGTTAAGTGTTGAGCTGTTACAGGCATTCACAATGCTGTGTTAATCTCTACCTTAATGTTCTTACTATACGTTAGAAAACAAAAGTTAGGTGTGGCAGGAAAAGCATGAGGCAGGAGAAATGCGTTCATTAAGATCTATGTTAGGGGTGACTCTGAATGTTAGGTTTCGATATTGTGTGATAAGAGATAAATGCGGATTGCATGAAGATGTATTGACCAGAATAAAGGAGAAATGCTCTCTTGGTTTGGATGTGTAAAAAGAATGCATGAGGAACGAGTGAAAAAGCACATTTCTGCAGAAGTTAATGTCATAGTCGATAAGGGCTGCTCTTCACGGAAGTTTAACAACTAAATTAGTGTCAAAAATATGGATGAGAAAGATGCGAGCGATGTGCATGTGAGGCTCGTATCAAGTAGATGTTCATAGTCTCTACCAACCCCTCTGGGTGACAGGCGTGAGAGTTTTTTTGTTTAGGAATTGAATTATTGAGTGGACCATCTAGCCTGGCAGAGGTTCTTCTGCGCCTTGGGCCAAAATTACTTGGCCATAGCACCACCATTGTGCAGA